GTTATGGATATGAGACAATTATATTACTATTGTACAAACGTGATTTATCATTTCAGCAAAAATAAAGCATCATCACGAAACCACGACTATAACACACGACATCGCGACCAATTAACCTATCCTACTGTTAAAAAGTTAATTTCACAAAGAGCATATTCTTTCATGGCAACTAAATTATATAACACCGTACCTCACAAAATAAAAAATTCTTATTCCAAACCAATATTCAAAAAACAAATAAGAAAACACATTCTCGAAAAAGATAGACAATTTTAAAAAATCTGTTAGAGTGAAATAAGTTAGTCTTAGGTCAAATTTATCCCAAAGTTGTATCATACTGTATTGTAAGTAGTATAATCTTAGCCATATTGCCTAAGATTTCATCTATTTGTACATTAATATTTTATTCTTATAGAATGTGTAATATTTATCTGAGGTTTTATCTATTTTTCTTACTTTTTGTTTAATCGGCCTACTTTACCTCAAGCCGAAATATAATTTGCTTAACTATAACACCAAATTCACAAAATTAAATAAAATGTTTTGTAGTTTCTACTCCATGAAGGCCATACTTGCTTTTATAAAAATATTTATGTACTTACATTTTATTTATAACTTCTTGCGAAACAAGATCTCTGCTCTTATCGCCAAACCACTTTGTTTACATATTTTGTTTTAATTGTACTCTAATCTGTATACGTTGTGAATAAAGTTATTATTATTATCATTATTTTTATTATTAACTTATACTTCCCATTTAAAAAATTGTGGGTTGTACCTGTCATTAGAAGGGGGTTGAAGATAGGGGTGGTATTTTTACGTTGAAGAATGTCAAATTATAATTTACATTTGATGTGTTTCGTGATTTTTTTCAAATATCGATATTATAATGAATTGATTCCGTTTGTCTTTTTCACAGTATAAATGCGAAAGTTTGTTTAACACTCACTCATGCTTCTCTGTTTCTCCGTACTGGTAAGTCCTGTGAAGCTGAAATTTGGTATATAGGTGCTTCTCAGGTTTTACATGCGAACTAAGAAAGGATTTTCATATATTACAACTGGGGAGACCCCGTGGGGTAAAAGGGGCGCGTTTACAGATGTAAATTACCTTTTCAACACTCCGTGCCGTCACATTCTCGGAGGCTGAAATTTTTGTATGAAAGTTTGTTTCATGTTGAAGATGTGCAATTAAAAAGGATTCTTGAAGATTCCAACTATAGCTCCCCCTCCTGGGGATAAAAGGGGCGCGTTTACATATGAATTACCTTTTCAACACTGTTTCTCCGTACCGCTATATTTTCGGTGTCTGAAATTTTATATGCAGGTTCGTTTTATGCTGTAGATGTGTAATGAAAGAGGATTTTCAAATATTTCAAATGGGTCGCCTCTACTGGGGATAAAAGAGGCACGTTTTCATATGAAATTTACCTTTTCATCACTATTTCTAAGTACTGCTTTATCTTCGGAGGCTGAAATTTTGTATGTAGGTTCGTTAATGTTGTAAATATGCAGTAAGAAAAGATGTCTAAATATTCCAACCGAGGTGCCAGCCGCTGGTAAAATAAGCGCGTTCATAAAATGAAGTTACCCTTTCATCACTCCGAAGACTGAAATGTAAGATTAGAAAAAAAAATAAATAAAACGAATAATAAACCTAAAATTTGAGAAGGCTAAACAAAGAAAAAAAACTTAATTAAAAAACAATCCCAAAGGAATAAGAATTATTCATTGATTGAATTTTATCATTTACTACAAGAATTCCACCATATAGAATGTATTTTTTTTATATCAGTATAATAATAGGAACCTAATGAAAATCATGAATTATTCCAAAGGTATGCACAAAACAAGTGTCTCGAGTGCTTAGGAGAACCCTTGGGACAATAAAGGATAACTGTTATAATAATGTATGTTCATGTAAGTATCTTATATCGATTCGAAAAATTGAAAATTGAATCACTGTTTCTTCATTCCCTTAAATTTTCGGTGGGTGAATTTATATTCAGTATCAGCATGGCACCCGTGCGGAGCCGGGGCTACTCCCTAGTAAATTATATTGTAGTAATTTGTCTATTTCATTATAGCCCTGAAGATAGTGAGAAACGTCGTCGATATGTTGACAACTGAATTATTAGTAAATAAGTACGTGTTTATGTATACAACTGCCAACTGTATATTAATTTCTGTTTGAGGTGATTTTTACAAGTGAATTATTGGGTTTTACGAAAGATGAAGAATTATTTGAATTGAAGGGGTTATATTTTTAGGAGTGATTAATTTTTGGGAAACAACGTTTTTGGCTTTCTACTACTCCAATACAAAAAAAAAGGATGAGGGAATCTTCCAAAGAAAGAAAGGAAGTAATCAATTTGAAAATAAGTGACTCTATACATGGATGTGTAGATCATGCAAAGAAGTAACTATCAGACACAAACTGAATTGTGTGTACTTTCTATAGGGTTTTCCAATAAGGACTTGACAACTTTTTTTGTAAATAAAACGCAAACCATTTGAGATATTTCCAAAACTTTATTACCGACTTGAAATACATTCAAAACAATTATGAATGGAACTCGACTTCGTTCATATGGCCACCGCGGGCACGTCGGCAGCGGTCGATTCGTTGGACCCAATTTTGAATGACTCGGTCACACATTTCGGCCGGAACGGCCGCTATTTCGCGTCCAATGTTGGCTCTAAGTTCTTCCAACGTTGTCGGCTTGTTGGCATAGACCAATGATTTGACGTAGCCCCAAAGAAAAAAATCTAGAGGCGTTAAATCGCAAGAACGAGGCGGCCAATTGACTGGTCCATTTCTTGAGATAACACGCTCGCCAAACTTACTCTTCAATAAATCGATTGTAACGTGCGCTGTGTGGCTTGTGGCACCGTCTTGTTGAAACCACATGTCATCCAAGTCCATGTGTTCCAATTCGGGCCAAAAATAATCGGTAATCATGGCGCGATAACGATCGCCATTCACAGTAACGTGACGATCGTTATTGTTAACAAAATATGGCCCAATGACGCCGCCGGCATGCAAAGCGCACCAAACAGTAATTTTTTGTGGATGAAGTGGTGATTCGTGAAGCACATGTGGATTTTTACCAGACCAATAACGCATATTTTGCTTATTGACGAACCCATTGAGCCAAAAATGAGCTTCGTCACTGAAAATGATTTTGCGATGAAATTCATCATCTTGGTGCATCTTCTCCAGAGCCCAAGCGGAGAACGTACGTCGACTCAAATGGTCCCTCGGCTTCAATTCTTGAGTCAGCTTAATCTTGTATGGGTGTAAACCCAGATCCTTACGCAAAATTCGCCATAAAGTGGTCTTGGCGATGCCCAGTTCTTGAGAACGCCGCGGAATCGACTGATTTGGATCATTTGCTACGGACGCCTTAACGGTAGCGATATTTTCGGAACTTCGACCAGCCCGTTGTCTCACTGGCACGACAGCATCACACAATGAATATGTAGACTCAAATTTTTGCACTAAACTTGTTATTGCTTGTCTACTGGGGCGAGAATTACGACCGAAAATTGGAGTTAACGCTCTTAAAGTTGCGGTCACCGACTCCGAATTTCGGTAGTACATTTTTATAATTTCCAAACGTTGTTCGTTCGTGTACTTTACCATAATGAAAATGTTAAGTTTACTGAAACAAAAGAAAGCAACAATTAGATGATTAGTGAAATAGTGCGTTCATAATTTAAATTCAAAGTTGTCAAGTACCTATTGCAAAGCCTTTTATAATGTTATCCAATTTGGTACTGAAGAGCCTTAGGGCAAGTGTCTTAAGGCGAAACATCGATGTATACCAGTGAGGATGACAGTGTTCCATGTAAGTGCAATTTCTTACCATTCATTTAAAGTAGAACTCGTGTGAATGATATCTGATTTTTATTCCACAACGAACGTTTTAAATACAAACTGAGAAGAGAAAAGTATTTTCTGTGTGTTCATATAGTGTTCATATAGAAATATTTGTTTCGAAAGAATTTTTTTTCTTTCGTGTAATTCAATGTTTTTATGAAAGTAGCTGTTTCAGGAGGACTTTCTTTCAGTTTATGTCTGATAGTTACTTCTTTGCATGATCTACACATCCGTTTATAGAGTTACTTATTTTCAAATTGATTACTTCCTTTCTTCCATTGGAAGATTCCCTCATCCTTTTTTTTGTATAAAGATGGAGTAGTAGAAAGTCAAAAACTTTGTTTCCCATTAAAGAATTACTTTTGTAAAAATCAAACATCTAATGAATAAATGATTTTATTTTATCTTCTATAAATTATTCGATTTGTTGACAAAATTTGTGAATATGACAAGCTACTGACTAATTGGACTTTTCAGTGGTTTATAGCACGCAGGTTTTTTTTCGGAATGAACTCACATACAGTTTGTCCTTTATTGCACTTTAGCAGATTTTCTATTGATTTGCTTTGTGTATTTTTCAGATTGTGGAAGATTAAATACCCAAAAACTAACAAAGAAACATGTATGTTTCTTTGGTTTTTTTAATTCGGAATATTTTTCTTTCAATTCATGTTTATGATTGAATTCGTAGAAAAAGGAGAAGAACTCTATAGAGGCAAACTTTTTTAATATCTTGTAGGCTTATCAATAAACTTCAAATGGAAATAATTGTGGTCATGCATATAATTGAGATTTGAACGTAACTTTCAGTTAAGTAAAATCTGTATTCAAATATAGGGTATCAATGCATCAACGTCGCAGTATCGTGATACTTTCAAAATCAAATATGGAAGTTTGTGATAAATAATAATCTGCGCTGGGAAATCCCCAGAAAAATTCTATTTTTTGAGGAGTAACGAAAATAGTAAATAATGGGAAACCACCGTCTGAGTTTGCTGATATCCAGATATGATTTCCAGAAATATTTCAGTTATTTCAGCAAAATTGAATCTTTCAAGTAATTCATAAAAAATCATAAAACGTATCAGTTCACTACAACGTATTTCTTTCCTTTGCAGGTAACAATTCCATCATCTTGGTGGCCACCTCTTCCATCACCAGATAAAGATGGTCGACCAGGAAAGATCACAAAAACTCCTCCAAGGATAGTGCAGGTGGCATACTCCGTTCTGGAGCCTTGGCCTGATGAGGGTGAGGGATGTCACCCTAAGATGCAAGTCCAACCATCGATGGTTTTGGGAAACGTACCTTTAGTTCCTGCGAAGGGCGCTTATAAAGAACTGAAGCTCGCCGATTTCATAACAATGTTGGTGCCACATCCACCGTTATTTCCCATGTCTAGAATGCACATTCCAGTATTTGTGGATAGGCAGAGGTCCAAACTATTGACCGCTATAGTTGTGAGGTAAGTTTTCCTAGTTTATTCAAGTACTATTTTTTCACCAAATACACTTCAAAACTAAAAACAATATGTTAGAGAAGGCAAGATCCAACATTTTTATGTGTTGAGAAAATTAACGAAGGCTGTTGTGATAAATTGATTTAGGCTTTCGCGGCCGAGATTTTCATTGTTACTATCTCCATTCGGGTTCCAAGACCGTCGTGGTTTGGAACTGTATCCTAATGTTTCGCCAGCACGAGTGGCTGGCTTCTTCAGAAGTTTATCCATCTTGATGGTTCACCGATGTTGGTCATCTTCATTGTGCTGCTTCCAGAATTGGTTTTGAACGCATGCGAAACAGTATCGATATTAAATAAGACTATTTTGAGGGTCAAAATATAGATTTTTCCTATTCTTTCCTACTTGTAAATGAAACTAAGAAGGTATATACAGGGTGTATCTTAAATGATGTCAATAATTTCAGGTAGTGATTACTTGTCATATTCCATGAAAAACAGTTTTTATGAACGTGTGCCCTAACTTGCTTCCTTTTGAGTAACGGGGTGTCAAAGTTTTACTGAAATATTTTACTGACTGTGATTGTTAGCACAGAGGGTCACAGAGGGTTACCTGAATGACATTTATGGAAAAAATCATTGTACGCCCTGTTTTTTTCAAGATTGAACAATCAATAAAAAATCGTGTTCGAAGACATGCTTCTATACAAATACACTAAATACACTCACAGAATCACCTAGATCAAACAATTCATTTGTATGAAAGCTCTATAAGAATACTTTTTTTAAGATTTGCCGAATAGTGGTTTAACCGAATACCGAATATTATTCGATTTAAATATTGATTTGAGGATTGAAAAAATAATGATTTGAAGTTCAAAAATAAATGTTGATTTGAAGTTTAATTGCTTTATTTCATCAGCTTTATTAAACATATTTTTCATAGGATTTCATTGATACATTACAATGTTTGTCTTTTAGTTCTATTTCTTGTGTCGTGTAGCTAAAAATAGAAATACTCAAACCGAATATATTAGGCACCAAAACCAAATGATTTGGCCGAATACAAATAGTTAAAAAGATGCTGAATTCTAGATTCACTAGATTCACTCACAACAAATCAAAAATAGAGTGTTGAAAATCCCTGACATCCCATTTCACAAAAAAAATCTTGGTATTTTACTTAAACTATTTCTTGATAACTCATATCCTTCAAGTATGTTAAAAAATATTTTGTTTAATTCCTCATCCATATCAGACATTACTACAACTTTTCCACCAAACCCAAATATAATTGGAAACAATGAAAATAATAATGTTCCAACTCAAGTTTTTTTTATAGTACTTTACCCCTTATTAGGGAGATCACTCCCAAACTCTCTAGAATTTTCAACGAATTACCGAATATTAAAATAGCCACCAAAGCAGTTCTCTCAATTAAAACTTGATACACCAGAGTCAGAGATAAACCACGAACGAATGTGGTATATAGTATTCCATGTCAATCGTGCAACAAAAACTATTTTGGTCAAACGTCAAAAACTTTAAGCTCCAGAATAACCTCTCAAAAAAGTGATTGTAGACCCAATCCTGAAAGATACGCGCTAGCCGAACATGTCAAGAAGTTTGACCACCATATGATTTTTGATGCCACTAAGATCTTAGCTAGTAAAACACATTTAACAAATAGGTCCTTTCTTGAAATGGCCTTCATTACTGAAAATAAAAACTGCATTAATAAAAAAACAGATATTAATCATCTCAGTGAGATATATTCCTATCTTTTGACGTTGGATAAAAATCCATATAACAATGTTTCATTGAATCTACAATTTTAAGTTGGCAACAACTTTTATCACTATAACCACTGACATGTCATGTCAACTGTCTATCAGTCCTAACCAATAGAAACGATTTGTGAAATTTTGATATGTGATATTATTTTCTTTCAAAACAATTCTAAACTGTAAATCATCAAATATTTTATCCAATATTAGACTCCTTTTCCGATTTTTATAAATGTATTGTATCAATGCTCATCCAACACTATGTGCGGTAAAACACTTCACTAACTATCTTCGAAAGCTTCTGATAATTCATGTTCCATATCCTCTTCTGCGTTCCATAACTGCTTTTTGTCACAGCAGCTCATGTTATAGCCCAAAATATTTAATTTCTTCCTTATGATTTTTAATTGTAGGAAACTCATTGCTTTTGTAACAGTCGTAAATGATTTTATTAGATGAACATCTAAAGATTTTGGTAACCCTGTATCACATCGCGTCTTGCTTTCATAAGGTTTGTTTTTGAATATTTTACGTACAGTTTCGAAAGGAATTTTGGTCAAATCAGATGTTGCTTGTAATAGTTTGTTTCTTTTGAAACCAAACTTGATATGTAGATTCTTAAATACATTGAAACATACTCTCTGTGTTTCAATATTCAAATGCATCTGAATCTTATTCGTATATACGGGAAAAAGTCTGCGTTGTTATCACACTCGTTATTACTATTAGTACTTGTCCAAGGACGCCACATTTTAAACAGATAACATAAATTTTAAGTTATTATAACTGCACCAATATCGAATTTCAACACTCAAATCGCGATCAGTTTCTGAACTGAACACGACGGCGATAACAAAGGCCGCATTCCCCGATTTCTATTCGTCCCCGTAACATGAATTCAAATTTAATTTTATGACTCTTCGGCCACTCATAAACCTCGGTTAGTAAAAATTATCCAATACGAATCGCCAAGTACACAGTCCACGTGGACTATTTCGCTGCCGGTTCATTTCTATGTATTGATTTTTTTGGCCTTTGAGAGTACCGCCACCTTTAAATGTGCACAATATGGTTCCTTCGACTATACTGTGTGGGAGCTGAGGTTATCATCATGAAGAACGTTGATGTTTTGGCAAACAAATTGTATATACCAATTAACGGTAACTGTTCTTCGATCCTTCAATGGAATGGTGTTCGGAATGGTGGAAATTATCCAGTTGAGCCAAAAAACGAGTGATCATTTTTTTAAAAATTTCTCGTGATTGAACCTTTTCACACGAGGCTTTTTCAAACATCTAGAACAGAATACATTTCAATGTTCCTCTAAAATCTAATATATTGGAGTATGTGATATGCCTAGGAATGCTTTTATCTTTTTGAAGCTATACTTCTTTTTTGGTGCATTACGGAAAAATAATAAGAGTAATTTTTACGATTCGCGCGCACACCATCACGAAAAACCTTGTCAGTACAATAGAAATAAATCAATAAGGGAACTATATGAAGTTAAAGTAACTAGATTTTGAGATTTTTTGACAAATAATTTTTTTATCTTATATAAATTTTTTTTAAGTATCCTATGTTACTCCTAATACCTCCAAGAACATGTGTACAAAATTTAATGATGATCGGTTGAGTAGTTTTTGCGTGAAACCGTAACAAACAAACTTACATTCGCATTCATAGTATTAGTGGGGATAGGGATGTAATAAGTGTACAAATAAATTAATAAATCAATAATTGATGCAAATGATAATTATCGAAGTCCGGGAAAATTGAACTATTCCAAATATTAAATTAAATCAAATGTTTCTTTGTTAAAGTAGTTTTGAAATCTTAAATAATAATATTTATCGTCAGGGTGTCCCATACACAGTACAACATGATGATAGTATCAAAATAAATTTCAATAAATATTTGGAATACATGAATAAACTCAAATCAAATGAATCATAGCGAGAAATAATTAAAAAAAAAACGAAGTATAACTTCTTACGTGCGTCAATAAGTACACACACAATCTTTTATTAAGGTATGTCACATGTCGATCACTATTATTGTGCTCACAACATGTCTTTTGAAATCAACCAATTTTGGTTGCCCGTCACGTGATTCATCACCGACAGATGCACTTGCTTTGGTTAAATTTAAATACTCACTGTCAACTAACTGTTAACGAAAATAAATAATTTATAATTCGAACGTATAGCAGCTTCCGCAGCTGAAGTATTATACATTATGATGAAAAAGGCGATGGATAGTCCTTCGTGGCCTCTTTCCATTAGGCAGCCTCAAATGCGGTCAGTTCTCCTAGAACTAGGTGAGACACTTTATTATTGGTAATAATTGCCTCACTTTCAAAAATCTAATGTTGCAAAATCATTGCTCTGAAAACAGAAATATAGGGGGAAAAAGAAGCAGATAAAAGTTATATATTGGTTGAATAAATGAAATAATCGGTCGGTAGCCGGTCGGTTCGAAGTGGGCGCTTTACTCGCTCAAATCGACCGCCGTGTTGGTCGGTGGTTCAAACCCAAGGCTAAACGATCGATTTTCACTTGCTATCGTCCAACCCGTGTTAGGAATCACACGTTAAAAGGTTAGACCTCGTTAATCGTTAGCTCGCAAAAGTTTATACTTCTGAGGGTGGTCGTCCGTAGGTGGTCTGGTTAACGGAAAAACAGATTTTTACACAGATTTTGAATAATGTGACATCTAGTCACATATTACATTTGATACTCCTAAACAGTACCAAAAAACAGCGATGTATTCCTTTCGCATAAGCAGAGAAAAATCGTTAAAGTAAAGTATTGCAAATTTCAAATGCCATTTTTTCATTTTATTGCTTCAGTCGAAGGAGCTCTCTAAGTAGATTATTTAGATAGGTACAATATTATTAATCCTGCGTTATAAAGTCTCTTCAGTTACGAGAATATTTCTTTGTCGAAACATCTAAACGACTGTGAGTGTAAAATATCTATCTCTCTTGGAAAAGCCGCCTTTGAGGTAATGAAAAAACTTTTTGTAGTCATTTCAAAACGAGAGTGCATTCTGCTAACTGTTGATATTCTTGGTGACTAAATTGATATTTCAGTCATAAGCATTCAGGAATGGTTTTAAACAAAAAATAACTGAGAATACTGAGAACGTGTATGTGTAAGTGTATGTGTATTTTTCCAAAATTTTCAGAAGAATTCCATTTGAAGTGATAAATTCGTGA